CTTTTTCATTTTTTTATTTAAGATCAATGTTAACAAAATCATTAATTACTATATATGATTAATGTTAAAATCATATAATTGTATTTGATATTTATAATTTTTATTTATAGGAATCAAGTTTGGTAGATAATAATTTCCAATGATTCACACATACAATATCTAATCAATATGAGGTAAAACTTATTTGTATATATAATATTTATAATTTAAATTTGTTCTAATATAAAATTTAAGATGACCCTATCCAAAGCATAAGAGAGAGATTATCGACAAATACTTAATTGTCTGATCTTATTATATAGTTCGTTCATATTGATCCAAATATGACCCTTATCTTTAGCTTATTTATCTTTATATTATTAAGATTTGCTTATCATGAAAATGTTTATCATAAGAATGATGTATATCTTTTTATGACCAAATGAGTCAAGGTCATAAGTTTAGTAAATAGTAGACCAATTATGAGTCGATCATATTGATCAGTTTGAGAATGATCAATTATAGACTTATAACACAACTCTCTAGTCTTAAGTACAATGAGTTAAAAAAAGATTGTCTATATGTAAACAAATCACAAGTTTAAGATGGTCAAAAATCAATATACACTTTTCAAAATGAATATTGTATATATATAAAAATTAATAAACATATAATATTTAGAAAATCTTTTTCAAGACTTAAAATATTATTATTATGAATTTTAAAGTATCTATCACAAAATTCAACAACCAACTTATATTATATGAATGTTAATTTGTAATTAAATGATAAAGATAAAAAAAAGTATACTATCAATATGTATTATTTTTTCATAAAGTAATAAAATATGATGCACTAATTCATAAAAATATATAATTTATTAATTAATAACTCAAGACAACGAATAAGACATTCTTCATTTTTTTAAAATAAAAAATTGCAACAATGACAGTTAGTACCGAATCGAAACTAAATCTTTATACTTACTTCGACTTCTATTATTAATATGACGATAGCAATTTGACGTTCTTCGTATGATTTTGATACGTAAAAAAAAAGTTATATTCTCATTTTTATTTTATAAATTTTGTATACTTAAAGTCAGACTAATTCACAAATCATCTAAAAGAATGTTTTGGAAAAAGAAACCTCTCATTTTATTTTATTTCTTCTATTTTTTTTTTGGAAAAAATAAATAAACAAAGATTATATTCACTTTATAAAAGGTAATATTTATTAATTTTAAAACATTAGTAATAAAAATTAAAGAGAAAAGGAAATGAATCGGATCTTACTACCGGTACTTTCTTACCAAACATCTCGTTTACCAAATAAAAAAATTATATTCCTTTTAGATTTATCGAAATATTAAACATATTTGTTTTTTATAAAATATTTTCTTTATAAAATATTTATAAAAAAAAGGCAACAAAGTATATTATTAGTTTTTTTAAAAGCTGTCAAAATTAATGTAGTCTTCGGTTTTCCTCGCTTAACTTAGGAAAAGAAAACAAAATTAATAATCGAAAAAGAAAGCGAACTACTAGTTTTTTTTACATCCCATAACAATAAGTATTCTAAAATTAATAAACATCACGTATTTTTATCGCTATTTTTCAATAAATAGTTGAGTGTTATTAATTTGGGTAATATAAGTTGACATATAATATTTTTTTGATTATAAGTATTAAGGTGGTAAAAAAAATTTAATTAAAAGTTATAATTATGATATTACGCAAGTTTTATCTATAATTATAATAATAAGTATATACGAAATAAATATTTTATAAAATTATTTTTATTATTAATATTATTTTCTAGAAATGATTTAATATATGAACAATTTTTAGCTTTAAAAAAGCACCAATTTTTTTTAAAAAAATATTGCTTCCGCCTCATAATAGCTGTAATTTAAGCATTTAAAAATATTTTTAATATAATAGTAATTTTTTAATAATATAGAGGCGGTTATTGTAACACCATGGAAAATACTAAGTTATTTAGTATATATGTATGTATGTATATGTTATTTATGTGGATTTGGAATGTACTTACTTCTATGCATGTTGTATGTTAATGTGATTTTGATTAGTTATTTAAGCATGATAGTGATTTTATAGTATGAGATGAGAGGTTGATGTTTTGATAGTTTGTATAGGCATGTGTGTGCATGAATTTGGTGAATGATGCATTGTACACCATTATACTGAACCAGTATTAAGAGGGAAGAAGACTGATCACCTTCCTCCTCATCTTGGTTAAGTGAAGTATTATGGCATGCAACTCATTATTCCAAGCATCTATATCTGAAAGTGATATTTGTTTGTGTGTTGACACATGTTGCATTTCATATGGTGGTGAGTTGTGAGTATTGCATGGAAAGGAATAAGATGGGTAGGAGATCGAAGGATAGGAACATAAGATAAATCTGGTCTTTCTGAGTGAATTTGAGGTTGTTTCAGAGCTTAGGGAGTTGAAATACTTCAAGGAATAGGATATTTGAGGTGAATAGGTGCTAAGGGTGAAATTTGGAAATTTTGAAAAATGGCTATATATAGGGACTTAGGACCGGAGGATTTCATTTGTCAGACAGAGACAGTTT